GTTGGTTAACAGGAATAGGATAAATTGTTGAGTTAATAAAAGGAATAGAAGAGGGCTTGGAATTAGTAGCGAGTATTAATTCAGTTTCCAAAGATCTTAAAATAAGCCTGATAATTAGATACAAGACTTTGTTCAAAATGTTGTAATTTTTTGACTCCTTCGGATACCTTTGTTTATTTCAAATCATTATAATAAATATTGCAACAAAATATCATTTATATATAACAAATATTTAACTGTTGTAGCCTTTTCTTTATCAGTTAATTGTCATACCTGATAATTATAAAGTTTGAAGTTTATGATTTATATGAGAGTCAAGTATATTAAAGACGAACATGGCAATATATTGAAGCCATACCTAGAAATGATATCTTTATATACTACAAGCTAGGTCAATAGTACTAACTCTTGATTGTTAGATTATTACTCATCACGATTTCTCTCAAAATTTTAAGTTGCCTGATCTTATATTATTATTGTGAAAGCTCAAATGTAGATATTTAAAATTACATTACGTTATTTCTGGGTCTTCAATAACTATTTGAGCTATTGTGGCCAACTTTTCTTTCTTCTAAGTGATATCATTATTGTTTGATAAATTTTGAATGGAAATGAATTTGGAAACATTCTCATTTATTTCATTAGCTCTCATGTCATCTTGCAGACTCTCATCATGATTATCACTATCTGAAGATGAATTTTCTTTTTCTTTGCCATTTTCATTATTAGAGTTATTATTAGACTCTTGATATCTTATTTTACTATCAGGCAATTTAATAGAAAGTTTTGTAGATTCTTTAGATATCCAAGATTTGTTTAATCAAGGAGTCTTTTCATAATTTGTTTTGTATCAGAATCTGATAAAACATAATTTACCAATATTGTTGACTGAAAGCTAGAACCTAATTAAAGGTCAATATCTTTCTAACGAGAAATCCCACATATCTTTCTGGCAATTTAATGTCTTTATTGATATTATTCATAATGATTTCGATCTATTATTCTTAATATATATCGGAACATTTGCAGGTTTTTTGGAAAGGATAGGTTAATACGTAATTAAGGGTAGGGTAAACATAGATCATTTTTCATATGATCTGCATGGTATTACAGATTTTTATATAAGAAATAAAAATTCGCCACAAGCAAAATTTTTTAATCATCTATAGACCCATCTTCCTCTTCCCAAAATTCTAGCAGAACCACACAAATACCACAACAGCCTAATATAACCCTGAATATATCTAATCCAAACACCAATACTTATAGG